GAAGTTTTTTCTTTTTTTCTTTTTTTAATTTTTTTTAAATGCATTTTTAAAATTGCTTCATTTTTTTTTTCTTTGTTTTTTGCCTTTTGTTGTAATTTTTTTATGTTGCAAACAGTTATTATTTGTATAAAATTGCTGTACGGAGAAAGAATTTTATCAAAAGTTTTAAAAATTTAGAAAAAGGAAAATAAAAATTTCAGTATGATTATTAAGTTTTTTCTTTTTTCAGATTTATCACCAATTATTTGCATATTTGCTTGTAAATATTAAAAGAATAGTTGAAGGTTTAGAATTTAAGATATAATGTTTGAATTTATATGATTTATATTTCGTTTTTTTTCTTTTTTTTCTTTTTTTTTTTTGGAATCATCTTCATTGGTGGTTCACTCAGTAATTTAATTTTAGTTGATTACTTAAATGACATTTAACATCAAATAGCACCTATTTCATGCTATGTTAGATGATATTATCGTATTATTTTATAAATGCATTATTCACTGAGTAAAAAAGTGAAATTATATTATGGAAGGGAAATTTTCAAATTTAGTAAAATAAGATATCAGGAACAGTTATCCGTTTAATCCGATGATCATTCCGGTTTTCTTACACTTGCTGGTATTTATTATATATATATATATATAGGTTGTGCTAAAAAGCGTTTTTCTTTGTTACCGATTACCGCAGCTGCTATGATGAGAAATGCGCTAAAAAAAAAAATGGAAAAATTGAAGGGCATCGAAAAGATGTCGTTTGTGACGGTAGTACCAATCGTTGCCACATGTTGCTGGTGACACGAGACCTCCCCTGGTGTGATAGACTTAAACAAATTTTCTACAACAACAACAACTAAAAAGAGCAAGAAATAAGAAAAAAAAAAACGGGGATTTTTTCCTTTCTTCCATGTTTTTTTTTTTTAAGGCATTATTTAATTGTATTAAATATTTATATTTATCACTTTTTTTTTTCTTTTGATTTTGATGATTTGTAAAAAAAAGAAATGAATTT